TGCTGGGAATTGAACTCAGGACCTTTGGAAGAGCAAGCAGTGCTCTTAACCACTGAGCCATCTCTCCAGCCCCACACCCAACTCTTATGCTCATGTTTAAGCTGGATCTTTCTGTTGTGTTATAAGAATTCTTGATCCATTCTGGATGCTATATCCTTGTCAGATATGTTATAAATATTTTCAATATGGGGCTGGAGAGATGGCTCAGAAGTTAAGAACACTGACTACTCTTAATGAGGACCCAGGTTAAATTCCCAGCACCCACATAGAGACTTACAACTGTCTGTAACTCCACTTACAGGGGGTCAGCTGTCCTTATCTGGTCTCCTTGAACATTGCACACATGTGGTACAGAGATATATTTGCTGGCAAAATACCCATATACATAAAATAATGCAATGACATTTAAAATATTTTTCCATATTATATGACTTCTGCTTTTCACTTTGTTAATAATGTCCTTTAGTGCGTAAAAGTAATTCAGTATTTTTGTTTTAATTATGAGATTATTTTATAACCACAGCATCATCACATTTTTTAAAAATCTGAACTGTATTTTATTAGTCTCTTTAAATACTTACATTTATATGAAAAGTTGTAATTGTTTAAACTAACAGCTGCTTTTGCTGGCTTATGTTTCTTCAGGTTGGTTGGTTGGTTGGTTGGTTGGTTTGGTTTGGTTTTTTGATAAGGTCTACCAGAGTAGCCCTGGCTGTCCTGGAACTCACTATATAGACCAGGTTGACCCAGAACTCACAAGAATTTATCATCCTCTGCCTCCAAAGTGCTGGGATTAAAGATGCACACTACTGTGCCTGACAAGCAAAGCCAACAAACAAAAACTTTAACAGCTACTTTTTAAAATCGGTGTTCAAATAAATACTGTCCATTGCAATCTCAGTCTGTTTATGTTTAAAGGATTTTAAGTCTATAGGTTTTGCTTCCATCATCTCTCTCCCCCCATGCAGTTTATTTGTAAGGAAACTATTTGTCTAACAGTCTGGGTTGTCTAGTCTAGGTTGCTTCCTGTGCCCCTCAGTCCTCCAGTTTCCCATGAGGAGGTAGGCTGTTGGCACTTAAGGTTGCCTCAGATTTACCTTGTGGGGTTGGTTTGTTGTTTCATCAATGCTACTTCATAGGTAGTTCCACATTCTCTTCTCATGAGACAAACCATCTTTATTTCTTACAATTTCAAGTTAACTATTATGGATCATTGAAGACCAGTCTGTTAGTTTCTTAAGAGGTACAAAATAATGACAATCTTAATTTGTTATATCTCTCTTATTAACCAGGTAGAATACTTGCTTTTGTGAGTAGATGTTTTCTACATTTTTTTTTATTTAAGTACCAGTGTTAAAGTTATATAAGAAAGCTAGGGCGGGGCTGGAGATGTCTCAGTGGGTATCAGTACTTGCTGTGCAGTATTAAGGACAGGGTTCAGGTCTCCAGCACTCACACAGAAACAGACTTTGAGGGCTGAAGGATAAGGTTACAGTTGAGTTGTTTTCCAGACATGAGATTGCCCTTGCAATCACAAGCACATAGCAGCCATGACTGCCCACAGGGAGTCTGAAAATGAAAGAAATAGGGGAGGAGGGGCAGGGGAGGGAGGAACAGAGGGTTAGGAGTGTGAGTGGTTGGGAAGACAAAGAGAGAGTGAGGAAGGAGATCGCTTAGGTAAATATAATCACAATGCAGTGTATACAAATATAAAATTAACTATGTTATTAAAAGTTTGGGCAGCCCTGTGAAGAACCAATTAGTCAAAGAGAATAAATAATAGGGGAAACAAAGTTAGGCATGGCTATGCACACCTCTAACCCCAGTGCTGAGGGGCAGGGTAGGGGGACAGAAAGGCTGATCCTTGCAGCTTGCTGTCCCAGCCTAACAAAAAACTAGGGAGCTCCAGGTTCAGTGAGAGACCCTGTCTCAAGGGAATAAGGCAAGAGCTGTAAAAGAACACACTCTCTTCTGGAGTACTTCTGCGGGTACTCCAGCATGTGTACATGCACAAGGACAATGCTAGGACAACCAACATTGCTGTCTTTGTTTTCACTTGGCTTCATATTATCATTTAGGTTCTTGTTTTCTTCTCATTGTGGCAGTCTTATTCTTTGTGAGTAACTTTATTATTGCATTCTGCGTTTCTAGACAACACCATTGCTTCAGTGTCATTATACATTATATCAATTATCTGATCTCTGACTACTGCATGTCAAGTTGACCCCTGAGTCCTTGATGCGATTCTGTGGTCTTTGACTTTCAGCTCTTCCCAGTTGAAACGTAGTTTATTCCACACCTCCAAATTTCCCTACAGAAATTTCCTGTAAGCCTCGACACATCCACTTGCTCTATAGAAAAGACAACAAGAGTTTCCTATGAGAGCCAGCTTTGCTCCAACTGTAAGTCAGATCAGAACAGGAAACTCACCCATGAAATTCACTTCATGTGTTTTTGTTGTTGTTTTCTTTTAACTCAGGGTCTCATGTAGCCCAAGCTGGCCTCAAACACACTATGTAATAGAGACTAGCTTTGAACATCTGATCTTCCTGCTCCATCTCCAAAATGTGCAGCTTACAGGTACTGCTGAGGATCGAACCCAGGGCTTTGCACATGCTAGGCAAGCACACTGCCACCTGAGCTGCATGATCAGCAACATTTTGTGAGAAAAGGGAACACAACTGCATAGTTGAATTTCTGCCTAAAGATTTTGCACCCAGTGGGTATTTTTTCCTTTTTTTTTTTCTGTATGTGTTTGTGTGTGTCTCTGTGTGTCTGTGTGCATGTCTGTGTGGTGTCTGTTTTGCATGTGTGTCACATCACCCGGGATCTCTCTTAGACATTATTCATTGAGGCAGGATCTATCAATCAAACACAGAGTGCACTGATGTGTCTGGTTTGCTAGACAGCTGTCTGGAGAATCTCATCTCCATCTTCTGAGGCTGGACTTACAGGTGGGTCGCCAAACCCATCAGCATTTCCATGGGTCCTGAACCCTGGATCTGCACACTCTCACAGACAGGAGTGAACCATCTCCCTATGCTCCCGGAGGTGTCTTTTAAGGACATAGTGACAGAGCTGATACTCACATGTGCACTCTGCTTTGCTTCTTTCTCTCCCATCATGTTGGGGATTGATTACTAATTATTATAAATTCTTTTTAATTAATTACAAAAGTAATGTCCTATCTAACTAAGGGGGGCTTTTGTTGAAGACTATGTAAAAGAGAAAGGATGAAATGGAATTAGTTGCTTGTTCTAAACCTGGGTATGAACAGGAAAGCACAATTCTAGTCTCTAGTCTGAACCAATGCCTACCCTCTGCCCATTTTATAAAGTTGCTGAGTGTTGTAATGAGTTTATATTTATAGATTGCTTGGAGCTTTTTGGATGAAAGGTGCTAAATTAGAGTTTATTGTTTATTGAATTTATTTGATGTGTCCAACCTCCTGGGAACACTTACTGGAGTTAATTAAAACCAGATAGTCTGAAATCTGACAGCTTACAGTGTAGCATCCAAACCAATAACATAAACAGCTTGCACTAGTGTTGTCCTAAAGGACCATGGTTCTTTGGACAGAGAAAGTACAGCTGCAGGTTCAAGTTACAGAGATGGTCTCAACTTGTCTGAGCTGTTGACCTACCCCTTCTTCACAAAAACAAAGAAACAAGCCATAGAATATGGAAAATTCCTTCATTTCTGGCTATAAAATACTGATCAAAGTGATTTCAAAAATAGTAATAATCTTGGGCCAGTGAGATGGCTTAGTCTGCTTGCCACCAGGTCTGATGACCTGAGTTTAATATCTATGACCTCCATGGCAGAAGGAAAAAACTGACTTTCCCTCAAGTGGTACCGTGTGTCTTACATATATGCATGCACACATATACATAGGATTGTACACATACACTAAAAATTAAATATCATAAACACTTTTTAGGCTTTAATACACTTTAATCAAGATTCTGAAATGTCAACACACCGTGAGATGTGGTTTTTATTCTTGTAAACCATGGCTCTCTGGGCATGCTCAGTCTATGCTATCTACACATTCTCAGCAGCACAATCTAGCTGAGCTGCCTCTTCCATAATGTCATGTTGAATGTGACATTTCACCGTTATTCAAACCCCTTGTTAAGATGGACAACACAATTATAAACAACTATAAGCTAACAAAAAAACCTGTAAAAATAAACATTAAGTTTTTGAAGTTCAAAAAGTTCATGTTAAATTGTTTTCGAATAAAAGGCTAGGAGAAGTAGAGGTAGGGAAACTGGCTGCAACATATTTGATGAGAAAAGTCTATTTTTCTAAAAAAAAAAAAAAGCCTCCAAGTTCAGTAACACTTCTTCAATCAGCAAATTTAAAAGTAAGCTTTCCTCTCCATGATTTTCACAAGGATTTAATAGAAAAGATGGTGACTCTGGAACCCAGTTGCAGAGAGGGAGGAGTGATGAGCAAAGAGGTTAAGACGGGGCTGGTGAAAACCAGCAATGGGACTGATCTAGACCCCGGAACATGGATGTCAGTGAGAAGGCCTTGACACTCTATGGGGCCTCTGGTAGTAGATCAGTATTTATCCCTGGCATAAGAAAGGACTTTGGGAGCCCATTCCACGTAGAGGGATGCTCTCTCAGCCTAGACACATGGGGGAAGGCTTAGGCCCTGCCCAGGATGATATGACAGACTTTGGGGATCCCCCATGGAGGTCCTTACTCTCCCTGGGGAGCAGATGGAGGATGGGGTGGGGGAGGAGGGGAGGGAGAGGGAGAAGGGATTGATATGTGAAGCAGGCTTGTTTCTAATTTGAACTAATAAGAAAAGAATTTCTTGAAAAAACTTAAATAAATATTCTCTTATGATTACTGCATTTTCTTTGCAGTACTGGCGTTTAGAAACAACAAGAGGGCAGTACTCTTTCTAAACCCAACTTAGTGCAGCCAAACATGATTGTAACAAATGGCTGTTTCCTCTTTTTTTTTTTTTTTTTTTTTGGCCAGTTGGTGATGGAGTTCTGTGGTGCTGGCTCAGTCACTGACCTGATCAAGAACACAAAAGGCAACACGCTGAAAGAAGAGTGGATCGCATACATCTGCAGGGAGATCTTACGGGTAGGTGACAAGTGGGCACTGCCTCCTCCCACTTCCTTCAGGCCACATGGGGTGCCTAGGGAGATATGCTACTCTGTTTATTATTTCTAGTGAAATTTGTAAATGTGGTAGAAATGTATTTAATGGCTTTATTTTAACAAGTTGGACATTTGTACACATTTGTAATCCCAGCATTTGGAAGACTAAGGCAAGAAGATTGTGAATTCAAAGCTATCTGATATACATATAGCTGGGGTTCCCCAAAAGAAAGAAAGAAAGATCATAAATAGACAGGTAATGAAAAGATAGATGGTAGGTAGAAGGATATGTGATAGATAGGGGATAGAAGACAGACAGACAGACAGACAGACAGACAGACAGACAGACAGACAGACAGACAGACAAAAGATGAATAGAGGATATATGTAGATATAGATAGACAATGAGTGGTTTACTTGAACAGTGATGGTGGTAACTGTGGTATAGAGGTAGGTCAGCATTGAAGGGCTGAGAGCCATTCTAGATGGTCAAGGTCATGTGTACTTGAATTTGGAAGGTTAACATTGCATGATTTCCACAGCTAAACATTTGGGGTTTTTTGTTTTGTTTTTGTAGAAATTTTACTAGGTCCCTATGGGGAATGGATTAAGAAATACACTGGTTAGTCATTCAAGGTGTCTATTTTCATTGTAATTAATATTGTAATACCTTCTCATCATACAAAGTGACTTTAGTCATGTCTGTTCATACAAGCTAGTTTCAGTATTTGTACCTTAAAAAAAATCTTTGAGGTTTATCCTCTTAAATGATGATGGATAGATATGCCTGTTTGCTTACTTTCCCACACAAATCTCACAGTCAGGCAGTGAAAGAATAGTGTTGCATTTGCTCAACTCAGTTCAGGAAGAAGGCATCTGGGCACATTAAGTTCACTCCAACTAGTTTAATTTTCTCTTGCTACAAATATGGAAGCTATTATGAATCTAATAGGGAATTCTACTACATCTGCCCAACAGTCACTATTTATGTGTCTAATGGGGAATTCTACTACATCTGCCCCACCGTCACAATTTATTCATTAGCTCTGCCGTCTTACTTCAAGGGAGCAGAAGTTAAAATTGTATTTCACTGTGTGTCCACAGTGTGGCCTTGAGAGATATATTTTGTCCTGTGGGTGGATGAACATTGGAAAAGAAGGAAAATCTAAAATGATGATGTGCAAGTCATTAAAAAAGAACAGACTAAGCAGGAGACAAAGAGAAAATGAAGCTTAAATCTAGCATCTGCCATAGCAGGAGACAAGTCAGACATTCAGAAGCAAACATACAGAAAGAAATGACTTCCTTCCTCATGGAGAGAAATGAAGGGAAACTCGGGCCCCTCCCCCCCCCTACTCTGAGACGAGTTTCTCTGTGTAGGCCTGGAACTCACTCTGGAGACCAGGCTGGCCTCAAACCCAGAGATCCACATGTCTCTGCCTCCCAAGTGCTGGGATTAAAGATGTGCACCACCACTGCCTAGCTAAATTCTCACTATTATAAAGACATCACTTCTCTGTGGCTTAATCCATAGTTTCTTTGAACTTCTAGCCAAAACTTCTCTAATTATACTGTGGACAAGCTAGTTTTCAGAAACTTTGTGGACATGTATATGGTCCAGAATAAGTGAAGCCATTTTAAAGAAGAATAAAAGTACAGAGTTTATGCTCTCAACTCTCAGGATTTATTTAAGGTTGCTAAGTAACAAAACTAGACTGGAATCAAGAGCATAGACTCAAGAGTCCCTGAACAAACCCATGTCATATAGACAGACACTAGTACATAAGAAAAAGAGTCTACTGTGGGAGACAATTTTCATCACTATCCATATTGACTATCAATATGACAATGTGAAATTAGCACGTGCTTTAAGTCAAATATTTTACTCCAATAAACACAAATGGCAAATATAGGCAATACCAATTATATTTATTTATTTATTTGTTTGTTTGTTTAATATAGGGTCTCTTGTAGTCCAGGCCTGCTTTTAATTTGCTATGTAGTTGAAGTTGGCCAAGAACTTCTGACTTCTCTGCTTCAAACTCTTGAGTGCTGAGATGACAGACATGTGCCACTTCACCTAAATTTTTTGTTTTGTTTTTATCTGTGTGTGTGTGTGTGTGTGTGTGTGTGTATGTGTGTGTGTGTGGTTGGAATGGTACAGCAGAGCACCACTTTAGTCCAGAGTAGAGGGGTCCTCAGTCTTGCAAGCACTCACATTTATGTGCTGTAAAAGAAGGCATTTAAAGCTAATCACTGCCTAACTAGAGCCAAACTCACCAAATTAGTGCCTCACATTCCCCCCTCACATACGCTCAGGCTGTTTGTTTCTTCAACAAGGAAAAAGAGAGAGAGAGAAAGAGAGAGAGAGAGAGAGAGAGAGAGAGAGAGAGAGAGAGAGAGAGAGAGAGAGAGAACTTGTGGTATTTATGGACCAATTAAAAGAACAGAAAAATTATAAATAATAAAATAACAACACGTGGGTGCCTGGTAGCATGACTTCATAAGTACTAGACCAATGTACTTTGCTTAATGCCACATAATAGACGCCAACTAAGGAAACAGATATTTCCTTTTTTTGTTTGTTTTTTGTTTTTTTGGTTTTTCGAGACAGGGTTTCTCTGTGTAGCTTTTGGAGCCTATCCTGGCACTTGCTCGGGAGACCAGACTAGCCTTGAACTCACAGAGATCCACCTGCCTCTGACTCCCGAGTGCTGGGATTAAAGGCGTGTGCCACCAACACGCGGTGATTTTTCCTTTTTGCGTATGTGTGTGTGCATGTTTGTGTCTGTGTGTAAGCTCTAAGGCTACCTCAGCTGTCATTCCTCAGTTGCTGTCCTTCATTGATTTTTAGAGACAGGATCTCTCAATGGCCTGGAAATCAACAACTTTACTAGGCTGGGTATCCCATGAGCCCTCCCCAACCCCAGCCTGGGATTCACCTATTTCTGCCTCCCCAGCGTTATAAGCACTGGCATTGGGCTTCACCTTTTTGTTATCAGGACATCTAATGCAGGTCCCCAGCTAAAAAGCAAGCACCTGACTGACCAAGCTTCTCTCTAGCCCATGTTTCTTTTTTAATGTAGTCCTCACTGACTAAGCCCAAAGAGAAAGCCCTCATTTGGCCTGAAACATGTTTCATTGTGCTTACTTAAAATTGAAGATAACTTGTAAATTGAAATAGCTTCCCAAAAGTTACATTTGGTGAAGCCAGGTTAGTTTCCTATGCAAACTGTTAATGTGCTCATTACAAATCAGCCCATATAGGCACATCTCACTTCCCACAGCACTATGTTAACTGTGAGTGGGTAGGAACCCACACATGTCATTATGCATGCAGTTTTCTGTACTGGTATCAGATCGTATATGTTTTATTCAACATAATGTTATGTGTGTACTTCAGTTGGTAAAATAGTGACCTACAGTTCAACTCAACAACATGAGTTGAAAACGAGAATAGACTCCTCTAAGTATCTTTGGATGAGTTGAGTTTGAGGGTGACTATTAGCATTCAAAACTGTGTTTGCGCTTTTGTTTATGTCCTATTAACTCTCTCACCTCTCCATCCCACCAGGGCCTGAGTCACCTGCACCAGCACAAAGTGATTCACCGAGATATTAAAGGGCAGAACGTCTTGCTGACTGAAAACGCAGAGGTTAAGCTAGGTACGGACAGCATCCCATGAGCCATGACACTGCTGGAGTTGATCGGCATCAACAGTCCTTATAAAACATTAATGTAAATCTGTTACTGTGGACCTGGGGGGAGTTTCCCCAGAGATGAAAGGAAAAATGTTTTGTGTATTTGAAAACCATTTTCCCAATCCATCCTGAAGAATGACTTGTGGCAGGCCTCGACACTGTTCCATACACTTCAGTCTGTGTGTCACTGTTGCTGTGATGAGGCATGGATGGCTCTAGGTGTTTGGGTGTTTTGTTTTGTTTCATCAGAAATATTCATGTTTGAAAGTATTTTGAATAATCAAGTCCTGCTAACTTCCCACAGGCTTGAGTTATTTTAAAATTTATTTTATTATTCTCCCTATGGCTCCTGTACAAAGGGGATTCTCGAGTCCATTCCAGGTGCACCCTGGCTGCCCCACTTCAGAGTTGGTGGTAGGGAAATACTCATCAGATGTGTTCTGGTTTCACCTCTGTTGCTGTGTCTTGACAAAAAAGGGAACTTAGCAGTGCAAGGTTCTGTCTTACTTAGCTCACATTTCCAGATTATAGTCTATCACTGGGGGAAAGTCTAGACAGCAAGAGCTTGAGGTACTTACTAGCATCACACTCACAGCCAGGAGCAGAGAGAGCGAATGCACATGTACTCGCTTTCTCCACTTAGAGACAGCCTGGGACCCAAACCTAGAGAATGGAGCCACTCACAGTGGGCTGGGTCTTCCCGCAGGCCAACCCCATTTAGACAAACTCTCAAAGAGACTCATTCCAAGGTGATTCTAGACTGAGTCAGACTGAGAGCTAAAGCTATTCTAGAGTCCTTTCACCAAAATAATCTGGAAATGCTCTCATTTTATTATCTAGAAGGGACTGGCTATCCATAGGATTGTTTATTTCTGAAGAGATGTGAACATTTGCCCTTCCATTTGGTTAAAATATATCATTTCCCATTCTATTGGCATGTGAAGCCACACACTCATCACATGAATAATTGCTTTTGAAAACAAGAGCGTACATTGTACAGGCTAAATGAATGCATGTATAGAGACTAGGTAATCTAGTCTCAAAGGACTTCCTGACACTATTTAACAAGCACTTGCTAGGAATGTAATGTATACCACATCTCTCAAGAGACGCATTATCTTCTGTAAACAGGGTCATTCTATGTTACCATCTTCATCTTTCTATTGTGGATTTAGAAAACCAAACACAGGGGTGGTTTGCTTATTAGTCACAGTGCTAGCCAGAGTCAGGAATGGTGTGTAAACTTTGGCAGGCTGACACTAGCCCTTAGGTCTCAATGACGGTTTTGTGTTGCCCTTTGTGGCCACAAAGGCTATCTTTTATCGAAACCCTACCTTTGGTCTCAATGGAGCCTTGGTATAATCAAATACAGCAATTTGTGATTTCCTCACTGGTGTATTTATTTACTTAATCATGCTATTTAAAGGTATGTATTCACAGTATAAAAATTATAGAAGGGACCCAAATGCCCATCACCAGAGGAAAAGGTAAACAAAGTATAGACATGGAAATTTAATGGAAAATTATTCAGCATTAACAAAGAAGAAAATTATGACATGTGTTACAACCTGAGTGAACTTTGAGGGCATTATATTAAGTGAAATATTATGCATTCTGCTCAGTTATTGGAGTCCTCGGTGTCCTAGAGACGGGCAGGAGGAGAATTGAGTGAAGTGTGGGACCTAGGTTTCATTGCTTCATGGTATAGAATCTCACTGGAGGAAGATGAAAATGCTCTGGGGGATGGATGATGGTGGCACAATCTTATTGGCTTTACTATCCCAGAAAATGTGCATGAAAATGGGTTAAAATCTATTCTAATTGGATTTCTGTTGCTGTAATAAAACACCATGGCCAAAGCATCTTGGGTAAGGAAAGAGGTTATTTCATGCAATCTCATGGAGACTTTTTCTCAATTGCGGCTCCTCTCTATATATTGTGTCAAGCTGACAAAAAAATCAAGATAAAATC